ACTGAAGGAATGGTGGATACACCGCAGCACCCCTGGGCCTGGGATACACAAGAAGGTGCAGTACGTGGAATAGTTATTTTCTGAAGTTTCTGCAGTGACCATGATTGATTTTATGAGGAAAAAATGTAAAAAAGAAGGAAAAATGTAAAAAAGAGGTAAAGATAGGTTCTGGGCTGGCTTCCGGGTTCACCTCGTCTGCTATATGCCTAGGCACTGGGACTGGTCCAGAGTCTAGCAACAAGGGACTTTCCGCACAAACCTCTCCCACATCCCAAGTCCTCAGTACCTGACAGAGGCGTTGTGCAGTCTGGCCTACGCCGGCAGGTGGCGCTGCTCCCCAACTTTCTCAAAGACTATGTCCCAGGGGGCCCCAACCAACGTGCCACCCCTACTCCGTCCTCTGCACCTGGTGGGTGAGGGCTGTTGTCATGGTACCAGGCCCAGCTTCCTTGGATCTGGGATGAGTCCAGAGGACTAAGGGTATAGTCCTTGGGATCGGGTAGGGATAGGGACCTCCACCTTGGGCAACCTGTGACCCCACTTATGCTGTCCGACTCCTGAGGTGCCAAAGCCACAGGCCTGTGCCCGGAAGTGCTGAGGTCAAGGGCATGGTGTGTTGGGTGGGGTTTGCGATATGGGATTTGTGGGGGGTGTGTGTGTGAGTATTTTTATTTATTTATTTATTTATTTTTGTTGTAGTTTTTGGCCAGGGCTGGGTTTGAACCCACTACCTCTGGCATATGGGGTCAGCTCCCTACTCCTTTGAACCACAGGTGCTGCCCCTATTTTTTTTTTTTTTTGAGACAGAGCCTCACGCTGTCCCCCTGGGTAGAGTGCCGTGGCATCATAGCTCACAACAACCTCCAACTCCTGGGCTCAAGCGAGTCTCCTGCCTCCGCCTCCCAAATAGCTGGGACCACAGGCGCTCGACACAGCGCCAGGCTATTTTTTGGTTCCAGCCGTCATTGTTGTTTTGGCGGGCCCGGGCTGGATTCAAACCCACCACCTTAGGTGTATGTGGCTGGCGCCTTAGCCACTTGAGCCACAGGCGCCGAGCTATAGCAAATATTTTTCCCCTGTTCCTCTTCTAGCATTGCTTATGATCTTTTTTCCCCTCCCTGTATTAGTGAGGCTTTGCAGAAACAGAACCAACGGGATATATATGAGAGGGATTTATATATGAGAGGGATTGCCTCATACAATTTTGGAGACTGAGATATCTCATCTACAAGGTGGAAGAACAGGAACGCCAGTGGTATAAACCTGAAGGCTTAAGAACCAGCAGAGCCAGCTCGGCGCCTATAGCTCAACCGGCTAAGGCGCCAGCCACGTACACCTAAGGTG